GAAGCGGAGAAAATATCCGAAGAAATAAAGAAGCAAGGCGACAAAGTACGAAATTTAAAAAGCTCGAAAGCTGACAAGAGCATTATTGATCAAGAAGTGAAAGTTCTCTTAAGCTTGAAAAGTGACTATAAAAATGCGACTGGTCAGGATTGGAAACCAGCTGATACTAAAGTTGCTAGTACTGAAAGCAAGATAAAGCCAAAAAATCAAGATATTTCAGAAGCGGAGAAAATATCCGAAGAAATAAAGAAGCAGGGTGACAAAGTACGAAATTTAAAAAGCTCGAAAGCTGACAAGAGTATTATTGATCAAGAAGTGAAAATTCTCTTAAGCTTGAAAAGTGTCTATAAAAATGCGACTGGTCAAGATTGGAAACCAGCTGATATTAAAGTTACTGAAAGCAAGGTAAAGCCAGAAAATCAAGAAATTTCAAAAGCAGAGAAGATATCCGAAGAAATAAAAAAACAGGGTGACAAGGTACGAAATCTAAAAAGCTCGAAAGCTGAAAAGAGCATTATTGATCAAGAAGTGAAGGTTCTCTTAAGTTTGAAAAGTGATTATAAAAATACGACTGGTCAAGATTGGAAACCAGTTGATATTAAAGTTACTGAAAGCAAGGTAAAGCCAGAAAATCAAGAAATTTCAAAAGCAGAGAAGATATCCGAAGAAATAAAAAAACAGGGTGACAAGGTACGAAATCTAAAAAGCTCGAAAGCTGAAAAGAGCATTATTGATCAAGAAGTGAAGGTTTTTTTAAGTTTGAAAAGTGACTATAAAAGTCTGACTGGTCAAGATTGGAAGCCTGTGAACTCGGTATCAAAAAAAGAAAAGCATATTTCTAAGCCTGAAAACATATCGGAGAAAGAAGTTGCAAAAAACGCAAATAATAATAAAGATTCTGATTCAAGCAAAACAGGAACAAGATTAGGATTGGAAGCGAAGAAAGAGGAGAACTTTACTGATTGGTACTCGCAAGTTATTACAAAAAGCGGAATGATTGAATATTATGACGTGTCAGGATGTTATATTCTTCGTCCATGGAGTTTCTCGATTTGGAAGATAATAAAAGAGTTTATCGACAAAGAGATAACGGACATTGGTGTTCAAGAATGCTACTTCCCGATCTTCGTTACTCGCAGCGTATTAGAAAAGGAAAAGGCGCACATAGCAGATTTTGCACCGGAAGTCGCGTGGGTGACGAAATATGGTGAAACTGATTTGGCGGAGCCCATAGCTATACGTCCAACTTCAGAGACTATTATGTATCCAGCTTATGCCAAATGGCTGAGGTCAGACACCGAGTTACCACTTAGACTCAATCAGTGGAACAACGTTGTGGTAAATGCTATTTATTGTGATTGGTATTTTTTTCTTGTTTTAATTCCGCTCCATTTCAATTAGTTTATTTATGTTTACAGAGATGGGAATTTAAAGATCCCAAACCTTTCTTACGCACCAGAGAATTTTTATGGCAGGAGGGCCATACCGCGTTTGCTACTAAGGCAGAAGCAGAGGCGGAAGTATTAATGATTTTAGACTTATATGCTAGAGTATACGAGGATTTGTTAGCGGTACCCGTCATCAAAGGCCGCAAGACTGAAAAGGAGAAATTCGCGGGTGGTGAATATACTACTACCGTCGAAGCGTTTATTCCAATTAATGGTCGCGCAATACAGGGAGCGACAAGCCATTATTTAGGACAAAACTTTTCGAAGATGTTTAATATCCAAGTAGAAGGTATCGCAGGCCGAGAAGAAAAGACATTTGTCTATCAAAATTCATGGGGTTTAACTACACGAACGATTGGAGTCATGATAATGGTCAGTACAATCATTCATCGTCATGATATAGACAATATATAATTATATTTTATATATATTCTTTTGTAACAAATATTTATTTAGGTACATGGAGATGATCGAGGTTTAGTATTGCCTCCAAATGTAGCACCTATACAAATCATTGTGATTCCCTGCGGTATAGCCGTGAACATGGATGAACATACAAAAGAGAGTATTCTAAAGAAATGCGATTGGCTGGTTCGTCATTTGGGTCAAGAGGGTAAATTTAGAGTGAAAAGTGATTGTAGACTTAATCGAACACCTGGATGGAAATTCAATCACTGGGAGCTGAAAGGCGTGCCAATAAGGCTTGAAGTGGGTCCAAAGGATTTGTTAAAAAATCAAGTAACAGTCGTACGAAGGGATAACTTCCAGCGAACAGCTATTGAAATATACAACGATAACATAATTACTCCATTAACTTCAATATTGAATGATGTACAAAAGCAATTATTATCAAGGTATTGCTAAAAAATCACTTGGCGATTTCATTATAATGTATACGAATAATAATACGCAATTTCATTTGTTTATAGAGCGAAAAGCAAGTTAAACGAGCATGTTAAAAAAGTAGAAAAGTGGAGTGATTTTAACCCCGAGCTTAATAAAAAAAATTTATTGTTGGTACCTTTTTGTGGAGATCCGGCATGTGAAGATAAGATTAAAGAAGATAGTAAGGAAGATAGAAGGTAAAATTCCTTCTTTTATATAAAAAAAATTTGTTGCTATATGTTACTCATTATTTAAGAAAAAAGATACATTTGGAAATTATTAAAATATCGATTTAAAACAAATTTTTATAAAAAAAGTAAATTGTATATTTTACATACTTTGAATTTACATTAGTTTGAATGACTTTGTATTGTAAATTATTTTTTCTTTATATTACTAATTTGAAAATCTCAACGTGAATTAGTTTTATTAAAAAAATATTCTGAACTTATTTAATTTAATTTTGAGAAAAGTAACTACATATATAAATAACGTACTTGAATTATATTGAACAGCAATTCTTCCTTTTTTATTCTCTCAATTTAAATTTTTTATTTTATGATTAATTACAGTGAAAGCGCAGAAAGTGGATCATTAATGGGCGCCAAGAGTCTGTGTATACCATTTGATCAGCCAGAAATGACAAGACCACTCAATGAACTAAAATGTATTCACCATAGTTGCAAAAATAAGCCGAAATTTTATACACTTTTCGGACGTAGTTATTAATGCAGCCACATAAAAGTAAGGTTCATGTATAACATTTAATAAATTTTTCTGTAATTTTTTATATGCAAGTAATATAGAATTTTACGGATTTTTCTTCAATCTGAGAAATTACAATTTTTTTATTGCGCATGTAACTTTTATTTAATAATATTGCGCATGTATTTATAAATTTGTTCTCATCTCTGTTTATTCTCATTCAATTTTTGTTATCCACTCCAGTACATTGTCCATTTAATTGTCCATTAACTTTTATTTATTAACTTTTATTCTTTTTATGACACCTCACTCTCTTCTTTTTTATTTATGAATATAAAATCATATAATGAACGATTATGAAAATTATGATTAATGATAGTCTTATATCAATATTCTTCAAGAATGTAGTTACAAGTAATGAAATAAATCGCACTTAGACGAAATTAATAGCAATAGTGTTTTTTGTACGAATCCATATAGCACTGATCGCCAAGGAACGTCCTAAAAACGTCCCTATGTCTTAAGAATGTTTCCAGGATATCTCTTGGATAAAATGTGCTATGGGAAAGAAATGGAGTAACCGGTAAACATTGTCCAAAAATTGATTCGCGATTCATGACTGCGCGGTGAGAAGTTATCAGAGATCCGCACGCATGATCGATCTCACGTGTTGATTGTTTTTCACTTCCAAATATAATGGCTGCGCTCGAATGAGACGCAGATCCTTACCTTCCTTCCGTTGCACCAGGCACAAGCTGGTCCAAAATTCTAGTGCTCGCAATCGCCTCAAATGACCGAACGGATCCGCATTGTCGCCGTAAGCGTCGACGTAGTAGTGAGACATCATTCCATTGTGGTACTCGGTGATGCTTCATGTACCGCTAAAATCGCGTCAACGAAACTTGTCATTGCCGACCGAGAAATAACGTGTGTGAACACGAACGGAGCAAGATAGAGAAATTCCCAGTGTCTGTAAGTCTGTAAGCATTTCCCACTTGTCGGGGTGAGAAGACGATCGAAGACTCAACTAACTACCCGTCCTCGGAAGGGGAAGGGTCAGTGATGAGGGGTCAATGAAGGATCATTGGCATGGCCAAGCGACTCAGCCCTCGAAACTCGGAGGTGAACGCTCTTGAGCAGCGGGGCTATCTTATAGGCAAGAAGATCGGACAGGTTGTTCATCGTTTCATTTGTTTTTTATTCCTTTTAACACTTCATGTCTTCTTTCTGCGTCTTCTCACTGTAGCTAGTGCTTTCTTCAATTTATATAACACAAAATATATAGGAAGATCTCCTTTTTATTTGTCTCTCTTTTGATAAGTGATTCATTTCAACCAACGTTTAATCAACTTCTTGATTATTTTCTAATTTATATTTATTTACAGGCTCCACGAGGTGGATCAAGTTAAAAGATTCTTTGTGTCATTATATTGTACAAAACTATGAGGTGGGAATATTTATTTTTTAAATTAGACATCTCTTTCAGGGCTCTTATGCAACCGTCCATCTGGCAGAGTATATTGATGGAACGAGCTCGAAAAAGATGCGTCTGGCTTGTAAGATCTTTGATAAGGAGAAAGCGCCAGACGATTTCTTAGACAAGTTCTTTCCCCGCGAGCTTGAGATTTTAACAAAGATAGAAAATCCGCATATCATTCAAGTAAGAATAATCTCCGCTCATCTCATGATTCATAAGAGAGGAACAATTCTGGTGGAAATTCACGTTACGTACTTTTTCTCTTTTCTTTCAAAACTGACTAAGGTCAAGAATCTTCAATCAGCAATCCTCTCTCAAACGAGCAAACATAGTTTACATCATTATTTTACAATACATGAATAAAATAGAACTTAACGATATTGAAAGTAACTTCAAGCACGACAGGAGATTCTTGGAACTTTATTATAATAAAGTTATGTAGGTGATAAAGGATCAGTTTTTTAATACGATTAGTAATTGCCCAATTCTGCCATTAACGCATCAGCAATCTTAATCGCATCATCCGGTCGAGCACAGGTGCACAGCATTTTGCAACGCGGTCCGCGCGTCTTCATCTTCATGCGCTACGCCGATAATGGCGATCTTCTGGATTTTGTGAAGAGTAACGGCGTAGTGCCGGAACAACAGTCGCGATTGTGGTTTCGTCAGATGGCGTCCGGCTTGCACTACCTGCACAGCAAGAATATCGCCCACCGGGATCTCAAGTGCGAGAACATATTGCTCTCGCGGAAGTTCAATGTGAAATTGGCGGACTTTGGTTTTGCCAGGTTCTGCATGGACCACGAGGGCAGGCGGGTTCTCAGTCAAACGTACTGCGGTTCGGCGGCCTATGCCGCGCCCGAGGTCGTCGCCGGTACTCCGTACAATCCGAAATTGGCGGACGTTTGGTCGCTCGGTATTATCCTCTTCATCATGTTGAACGGAACGATGCCGTTCGACGACGAGAATCTACCGAAGCTTCTCAAAGACCAGATATCGCGCAATTGGGTGTTCAGGTCCCGCGTCCGCGACACCGTGTCCACGCTGGCGAAGAACATCGTCCGGCAGATCCTCGAACCGGACATCACTCTCAGACTTACGCTCGAGAGGGTGCTAGGCCATGAGTGGGTGAGAGCAAGGAAGGATAGAACAGGCTTCCTTGCCGGAAGACTCGTCCATTCAGCGCCGCCGAGTCATACCCCGGTTACGATAAACAATATAATAGTAGCGTTACATTCAAGGTTCTTGGTCTCTACAGTGGATTATGTCGACAAAAGCGAGAAATTATACGAATTTTTTATATATTATATATAAGCTTTTTTTTATACAAATTTATCCATCTTCAATAATTTTTTTAATAAATATTTATATTAGAAAATTGATATATAAAGTATACAGAGGGATCTCCTTTTTTATTTGTTTTTCGATAATAACTGAATATATAATTCGATTTACAAATCTTTGATGAAATTGCAACTTAAAATAATTTATTACAGTTATCTATTAATCCAATTAGAAAAAGTTTTCAATATATGCTAAAAAATGTAATAGTTACAATATGCAAAAAAAGGCTAATTTATCTTGATGTGTAAAGATAAATTTACATTACTTGTCATAATCCGATTCATCTTCAGTAAGAAACCAGGAATCTTGATGAACATAAACGACATTTGCAATAGACAGTCAAGGTTCCTAAACAATGGATTTTCGTATAAAATTACAAAGATTAGTTTACTTTTAAACGAGCAATTATTCATGGAATTTACAATAAGTCCGAGGAATAATTGCAACATTCCACGCAATAATTATTTTGAAGAAGCGTAACGATTTGTCGCCTATGTAATTAGATGTGTGGAGGCGGTAACCTGGGCGGGTCGGGAACCGGAAACGTACCTGTCGTAACGAGGGCACAACCCGCATTAAAAAATTCGGAAAATCAGACTCAACCGTCCTCGAAGATGGTAAATACCTCAAGGAAAGATCCACAGCCTATCATCGTGGGATAAGAAGATTCGCAAAAAGAATCAATCGATACATTGACAAGCTATATAATCAAAATATGAGATTACAGTGACTAACAATTTCAAACTATCGTTTTTGAAGACGTTTACACTTGTCTTTACTAATATATTTTTTAATTTTTTATTTGATTGCACGACCAATGAAACTTACACGGATGTTAACGTATTGTTGCTAAATAAAGACGTCTATAATAATTCGATACAAACCACATGTCGAATACGAGGAAAATTTAATCGATTAACGTTAAATATTATTCAATAATTAATTTCTATATTTTTCTACAAATTGTCCGACTATCATATGCTGTCAATTTCATGGCATGATAGATACAGAATAGAAATTAAAAAATTTGTCAAATACATTAATAAGTTTATTGTACAGTTACTGCCTAGTAATATACAAAACTATACTTTTTTTTGGTTACATACACATATAACGGGATATCTCCTATGAATGTAATATATAAAGATACATGTGATATATTTCTTCTTCTACATCTAATTTACATTAAAATAACAAATAATTTACACGATTCGATCTCTTGCGTTGTAAAGTCGAGCTCGGTTAGTATAGCACCTTGGGATACTGAAGAGGACACTGACACGCATTATGAGAGGGAGGATTACAAGAAATAAGTCTCTAGACATAAAAGAAATCGCTAATTGAATTTTCAAGATTTACGGCCGTATATGAACTATTCGAAACTACGGACGGTTTTATTCTATGGTGATTTCATGCTTCCTTAAAGGATTAAAATCGATTTTTTTTTTCTTTGTTACAAAGTGTTGCCCAATATCACGATATGTTTTGTAGATTTTTTATTTGTGCAGACTTGACATATTTGTTCCTAAATTCGATATTTATTCAAGGCGATAGATTCCTCTAGAAAAAGTTTCGTATAAAAGTATATCTTTGTAAAATAGTTTCACAAACATCTATTTATAAAATCATTGTAAATATAGAAAACGGATTATTTTTTCCTGGAAAAGAGGCCATGATTATAACGGTTGTCAACACTGTTAGTATACCTTGTAAATAAGGTAAACACATTGGTAAACATTCTGAAGTAGCCTCCTGTCGAATAAAAATAACTAATCGCTAAAACTCTTCCGCTCGCGCATAGATGGAACAAAATATTTTATTTACAGCATATTAGTGTTAAAATGTGATAAATACGACCAGATTTAAGTATTTTTACAAATGTACTAGCATGCAAAAACGTCGGTCCTTGAACAGGCACATAACGAGCGCGACGTATGTAGGTAATGCTTAGAGTGCATCTCATCATCGCTTCTCAGAATGTTAGAACCTGTTTCGATTTCATGCACTCATTGCAGTACTGCAAGTCATTAAGCCCATCCACCAGTTAATTTGTGGAACAAGTCTTCGTTTAATGTTTGATTCGCCTCCTTCGAACGCATCGACAGAAAAATGTAGCCTCCTATGAATTCATGGACAACTTTGCAGTCCGCTGATTGACATTCAAAAATGATATTCTCTTCTTCGAATTGTACCATCATATGTTTTACTTCCCAGTTAACATTCCACGCCTATAAAAGAGATCGTTCACTTTCATCTTTTATTCAGAGATAT